GCTAATATTTTGTTCATTAATATATTTAATCTTATGAATTATTCTTTCCCTTACAATGCTTTTTGTATTTTAATCCAGCTGAATGATGGGAGATATATGGTACTGATGCACCTCACCTAAAGAGGATAGCAATCAAGGTGCTCTCCTAGACATGTTCTGCTACTGGCTGTGAGCGCAACCGGAGTACGTTTCAATGGTTGCACACTACTAGGAGGAATCGACTCGCTTCTGAGAAGCTTCATAAACTAGTCTACGTTCATTATAATTTAAACCTCAGAGAGCGACAAATAAGAAAGAAGCTTGAAGACTACGGGCCGATAGACTTAGACACAATATTTGTGACAGACACAGCAGACCAATGGGTAGTAGAAGAGGAAGAGCCAATGTTGCACAAGAGAGCGTTCCTTGAGGCTATTGGTGATGAAGATCTTGAAGAAAGTGATGAGCAGCATGAAAGAGGAAGCAGCTAGCCAACGTATCCACAATTCGTCGGAGATGTCGGTGATATTGCACCTAATGAGGGAGAGTGGGAAGGGGGTCTAAGAGAAAATGAGAGAGATGATGATTCTGAGGCCACCCTATCCCAGCCATATTATTCACATATCGAGTCCCAACAGCAACAATGTAGGGATGAGCATGACAGTGCAGGTGAGCATGAAGGATTGACAAGCTTCGGGGATTTTGGATTGGGAACACAACAAAACACTAAACACTCAGGGATTTGGGAATAGTCAGACGCCTGCTAATATCGATGATTCGTTTTTAGATCGAATCAATGAATTGTCAAACGAATTCAATCAATGGCACCAGCGTGACCAAGAAGAACAACAACGTCGTCTATCATTTTATTTTTAGATCGTATGTTACTAATTTTATGCTTTATTGTAGTCCATGTATGTTGATATACTTATTCTATGATAATTCTATGTTTATCCTTTTGTGTGATGTAAATTAAATGCTGAATGGCGGTTCATGTAGGGAAATAACATATCAATATTCGCATATTCATTCAAAAACATGAAAATTCTTAATGGAGTACCCTCATTTCTTATTGAATTCTTAAAAAACAATATTTATAATGAATTTTAATAAATTTTTTGGATTTTTTTGAAGCTTTATTCTGACCGATTCACCCAATTCCCTATCCGGATCGCCGATTCGCCGATCCGGATCGGTTTTTTGGGTGCCCGATCGGGGTCACCGATCCGTTTTTTAAACCATTGCTTGTATCTATTCGATGACACTCTTACAACCACCCATTTTGAAATTTAATGTACAAAAATGATTTTGACCTCTATGTACAAAAGATTAATGGTCTCTATGTTAGACAATTCCATTATTAAAAGATGCAATTTCTATGAGGCCTAGGTTTTTTTCGAAAACACCAAAAATTTCCTTGATGGCTTTAAACCCAGTTTTCAATATATGAAATTTTCAACTAAAAAATTGGCATAGATCTTGCGGTTCTGTCAGCACTTATTTTTAAGGCAAAATGGACCGTCTAAATAATGTATTACAATATAAACTACTTGTATTACAATATAAACTAGTTTACGGCTTGAAACCCTAAGTATTTTCAAAATTATAATGTTTAATGCCAAGTTGATCAATTTGAATGTTTTTCGATACTAGAATAGCAATTTCTTGTGAGTTTTGAGGTGAGGCTTTTCTTATTTTGATAGGGTTGCAACTCTTTCAAAATATTGCCCATTATTAAAAGGTAAAAAGAAAATTTCTGTTCGTACCATATTTAAATATAGTAGTAATATGTTAGTACAAATTTATAAAAATTTAAATGGGAGTATATTGGTCTAATAATTAAAACATCGGACACGTGCATTTATTTAAAAATTCCTACGACCTTTTTCCTATTTTTAAAGTTCAATATACCAAACATTGGACCACCATTTTTCTTTAAAAAAAAAATTGTAATGTAGGGAGTGTTCTAATGTTGGAAATATGGTACCACCCAATACCTCATAACTTATTTATAGTACATTGTCTGATATTGGAAGCATCAGACCAAAGTTTTTTTAACAAAAGGAAAAATAGGCGTGTTCAATCTCTCTAATATCAGATTGTCCAACAAACAACTCGCATAAATAGGCCGGTTCGATGTCTCCAACATCAGACCCATTGAAGCATCAGTTGGTAGTTAGTGGGTCTTATATTAGACCTATTTTGCTTTTTTTAAAAAAAGATTTCAGTCCGATGCCTCTAACATTGGGCTACATATTTTAAAAAAGAAAAAAGTTCATGTAAGGTTGCAACCTTAAAATGTAGAATTAAAGATGAGCCTAAAAAATCCATCGAAAAAGGTTGTTTTAATGTTGAAAAACCCTCTAATTGATCATCTCGACATTAATAACAAAAAAAAAAAACAAAAGAAAGATTTTGAATCCCATAAATAGTGTATCTTGCAACACATTAGACCATCCATTTTCAAGATTTTCATATGTTTATTGATCTACTCGATTTTCACTATTTTTGGAGTTTAAAATTTTATAATTAAAAAAAAATAGATTTTCTCATAATTCTAAAAACAAATTACACCAAAATTACAGGTACGCCGTAATTGGATTGTTAAAGCTTGCAACATTATAGAAACCATACATTTTAAAAAATTATGAGATATTGGATAGTCAATAAAAAATGTATTATATTAAACGGCTCCCTGCCCTTCAAAAAAATAAAAAAAAAGTGGTATGATATAGGCAAAATAGAAACTACAAAGGGCGTGGGGTATTTTTAAATAAATGTACAGGCGTAATGGTTTAAATATTGAACCGGTATACCTGCCGTTAAAATGTTTTATATATGACGATGTCATTACAAATCCTCCGAGTAAACTCTGCGAAATCCATTGAGAATTCTGCAAAACTTTTCCATAGGTGAGATTGGAATTGGACCTCTCCTTCATCAACTGAGAAAACTCGGCAAAATCCACTGAAAAATTCTGCAAAACTTGTCCATAGGAGAGATTGGAATTCATCAACAATGGAAGCCTTCAAAAAATACTCTCCCTTCGTCGTCCACACAGACGGCACTGTCGAGCGCATCAAAGACACCGAAATCTTGCAGCCCTCTCCCTTCTCCGACGCCGGAGTCACCTCCAAAGATGTCGACATCTCTCCCAATGTATCTGTCCGCCTCTACATCCCTCACTCGGCCCTTTCCTCTACCACAAAACTCACAACTCTAGTCTACTTCCATGGAGGAGGTTTTGTCGCAGAGTCGCCCTTCTCCCCAATCTTCCACACCTACCAGGACGCACTCTCCGCAAAGGCAGGGGCAATCATCATCTCTGTGAATTACCGTCTCGCCCCCGAGCACCCGCTCCCAGCTGCCTATGACGATTCGTGGGAGGCTGTCGAGTGGACTGTCGGTCTGTCTGACGAGTGGCTGAGGGACCATGCCGACCTAGACCGCCTGTTCTTAGCTGGGGACAGCGCCGGGGGCAATATCGTGCATCAGATGGGGATGAGGGCAGGCAAACCCGCATCGAAGGTGAGATTGCGTGGGTTAGTATTAGTGCATCCATTTTTCTGGGGACCAAACTTGGGTGACACAGAGAAAGAACACAAAGAGCTGGTGGAGAGGATGTGGAAGATGGCTAGCCCCCCAGTTGTTGGTATTATGCAGTGTCACTGGGTTAATTGGCAGGCGGAGGACGCGACGCCATTGTCAAAGCTCGGCTGTCGGCAGGTGATGGTATGTGTCGCAGAGCTGGATTTTTTGAAGAAGAAGGGAAGGGAGTATTATGAGGCATTGAAGGAGATCGGGTGGGAGGGGAGGGTGCAGTTTGTGGAGACTGAAGGGGAGGGTCATGGGTTTCACTTGATTAAGCCCGACTGTGAGAAGGCCCGGGTGTTCATGGATCAGCTCGTCTCCTTCCTTAATCACGTCTAGCTAGGTGTTACCCATCTTTTTTTCTCTACTGGTTTCTTTCTTTTCAAGTTTGCCTGCACACACTCTCTCTAAATTAGACCTCTAATGGGTTTGTTTCTTGTTCAAGTTTGCCTATTCTCTCTCCATATGTATATGTAGAATTTTCAGTAAAAGAAATAGAGTGACAAGAGAACGAATAGGAATTAACAAAACTTATACGTAGTTCATTTATAGCAGCAAGATATTAAGTTTCTAAAGTTATTTCACTTCTCTCTCTCAATTAGATCTTTACTGGGTCGGTTTCTTTTTCAAGTTTGCGTACTCCTCTCAGCATATATTGTTGGAATATGTGGGAACAGATGGATCCTTAAATTTCCAGGATTAGGGGCAGTGTCGTGAGACTGAAGTTCACAAAGATCAGGCTTTTACCAGAATTATGAGAACTCTATAAATTTCTGTATACCTCTGCCATGAAACTCTTTTTAAAGAGGGATGGAGGAGACTATTCTCTAACATTCGGCTTCCTCTTGAAAGCTCTAAGAAAATGTGGTCCTGTAATCCTACGAAGTGGGTGGTTACTTTCTAGCTGTTAGATAATGACACTTTATCTCTCTAAGAAACCTCCATATTTTAATGGTAAGCATTAAATTATAAGAGATAAAAAAATTGCACGTTTAAAGGCCTCAAGGCTACACACTCGTACTAATATCTTCCACTTGGCTATGAGGACAAGATATATTGAACTATCATAAAGTCTTTATCACTTAATGAATTTAATATTTATGAGCATATTTTATCATGGGGCTTTTCACGCAAATATGGTTATATATCTCATAACAAAAAATATCCAAAGTCATGTCATGGTTTTTCATGCTAATGCGGTTTTTCATCTCATGACCAAGACATCAAAAAAATATCCCATTTGGGAGTTCCTGACTTAAATATTTTTAAGTCTCATCAAAGCTACATGCTTTGTTAATATTTCTGCACTCAATCCCTTTGTTAAAGTGTCTGCAATCCTATCCGGAGATGGCAAATAATTTACAATTATTTCATTCTTTCCAATAATATCATAAATATAATGATAATCAATTTCAATGTACTTACCCTTGGAACTATAAGCTCTATTTTTAATTGTTGAAATTACAGCCTGATTATCACAAAAAAATTTAACAGGTCCATCGGCGATATTTAGCTTCAAATCATTTATGAAGCGTTTAATCCTGACGACATAAGTTGTAGCAACACTACAAGTAATATACTCGGCTCCATAGTACACTGAGCTACACAACCTTGTTTCTTACTAGACCAAGAAACACATCCACCTCCAAAAAGGAATACAATTCCTGATATTGATTTTCTATCATCTAGGTCTCCTACAAAATCTGCATCAGAGTACCCAGTAACCTCTAAGTTGTCAGCTTGGAAGCACAACTTGTAATTTTTAATTTTCTGAATATATATGAGTATCTTTTTTACAACTTGCCAATGAGTTGTCCTATGATTACTCTGAAATCTATTTACAAAACCATATGCTTGACTTAAATCAGGTCTTGTACACAACATGACACAATTTATGCATCCTACAACTTGAGTATATGAAATTCTTTCCATTTCAGCTTTGATAATAGACACATTTTCTTTGATAATTTCAAGCCTTTATAAATAGTTGTATCTATAGGCTTGTAATTTTATATCTTAAATCTCTTTAAAACACTTTCTAAATAATTTTCTTGAGATAAATATAAAAGTCTTGAACTTCTATCTCTTGGTATTTTAATGCCTAGTACATATGAGGCTTTTCCCATATCTTTCATCTCAAAATGGGAACTTAGTCATGATTTAGTATGGTCAATCTTGCCAATATCATTACCGGTTATCAAAATATCATCCGCATATAGTGACAATATAACAAAATTGCTCGTACTATTCCAGACATATACACAATGGTCTAACCTATTGGCTATATAACTAATTTCAGTGATTGCATTATGAAAAATAAAATACCATTGCCTAGAAGATTGTTTTAAACCATATAAAGATTTCTTAAGTTTATATACTTTGTCTTCTTGGCTTTTAATTACATATCTTTCTGGTTGTTTCATGTATATATCTTCTTTTAATTCTCCATTTAAGAAAGCTATTTTGACATCCATCTGAAATAATTTTAGATCATAATATGCAACAAATGTAAGAATGATCCTAATAGATGAAAATTTGGCTACTGGAGAATAAGTTTCTACATAATCTATACCCTCCCTTACCCATTTGCAACCGATGGCTTTTCTAACTTTAGAGAGGTCAACCAACTCCCAAACTTAATTTCTTTTAATAGAATCAAGTTCATCATCCATGGCTTGAGTCCACTCGGCTGAGTCATGTGAACTAATAGTTTCACTAAAGCTTCGAGGTTCAACTATTGTATCCTCATTCATTGAAGAGTAATTATCTTCATTTATAAATACATAAAATTCTTCTAAAGTCATAGGTAGGGCTTTAGTTCTTTTAGGCCTATCTGGTATACTTTATTCAATTGAATCATTCTCACCAAATATAGAGGGAGTCTGAGAAACCAGGTCTTCCAGACCCTTATCTATATCAATTTCATGTAAGTCAATAGGCTTATTTAAAATATTTTTATCATATATATTTTCTAAGAAATGAGCATCACGACTCTCTACTAATGGTCTAATATCATGGTTATATAATTTATACCCTTTAGAATTTTCTGAATAGCCTATAAAAGAGCATTTTATAGTTTTACTTTGTAATTTATCTCTATTTTGTGGTGGTATAAGTACATGTGCCTAAGAACCCCAAACTTTCTTTCCATAATTCATATGGGGTCAAGTCTATAGATTTTGTTGGAACATGATTAATAATATACATTGCAGTGTTGAGAGCTTCACTCCAAAAATGAGCTGATAAATTTAAATGGCTTATCATGGATCTAACCATGGCCATTAGAGTTTTATCTCTCCTATCTACTGCACAATTTTGTTGTGGTGTATATGGCATGGTTGTTTGGTGAATTATACCATACTCCTTACAAAATTTGATAAATAAGGTGAAATAATCTTCATTTCCCCTATCTGTTCGAAGAATTTTAATATGTCTAACTAATTGATTTTCTACCTCAGCTTTATATTCTTTAACATTATAATGCATCTGATTTCTTACTAATTAGGTATCCATAACGTGAATAATCGCCTATAAATGTTATGAAATATTCCATATCTCTATGTGTTTTCATATTTAATGGGCCACATATATCAGAGTGAACATTACTAAATAGTTCACTAGACTTTTTCACTTTAGGGAAAGACTTCTTAGTTAATTTACCAGAAATACATAGCTCGAATGTTTTGAACACAATTTATCCTAAATTGGGGAGCAATTCTCTTTTAACCATTTGATTCATTTTATTTTTATTTATATATCATAATATTAAGTGTTATAAATATGGATCATCCATACACATAAAAGCATCAAAAGAAGCATCAATATAACCAGAAAATGATGAACTTTTATTAATATTCAATCGGTACAAATTGTCAACTTTAGTACCGTATACCAAAGCTCTAGAATGCTTCCCAATGGTAACCCGACCAGACCTGAACCTTATTGCATAACCCTTGTCGTCTAGCTTAGGGACAAAAATCAAATTGCGCCTCATATTGGACACATATAATGTATCAATCAATAAGAGATTTGTTCCTCCTGGTACATACAACTTGAAAGTGCCAACACTTAGTACATCGCAGTAGGTATCATTTCGCATATAGATCTCTAGTTACCGACTGCAATCTTTTTCAATTCTGTGAATCTGTCATTGGTCTTCGAGACATGTCGAGTGGAGACTGAGTCGACCCACCAATTTATCAGGTCATCGATGATTCTAGGACTACACAGATCAAGTCTTTTACCTTATTTTGATTACTTCGAGTATGGTTGTTATTTTGGTTCCTATTTTTATTTTTCAGCTTAGGACAATTAAATTTGATGTGCCCAATTTCCTTACAATAAAAATAGGTCTTCTCAACCTTATTATTTTGATTTTTAAAATTTCTCCCCTTTCCCTTATATCTATTATTTTTCTGATAATTGAAAGGTTTCTTGGGGATATGAGAATATGAACTTTGAGCAAAGCGGAGCTCATTTGACTTCTTTCTCATTCTTTTATCAGCTTCAATACTGAGATGCATGGGAAGATTTAACATGGTTATCCCTTGTGCAGAATGGTTTAATACAATTACAACAGACTCCCAAGATGGAGGGCGATTGTTAATGACAATGGACAGTTGCATGCGATCAGGGATTGAATTCCCAACTGTAGCAAGGTCCTTTGCGAGTACTGTCATTTTATTGACATGCCTGGTCACTTAGTCTGTTTCTTTCATTCTGTAAGAATTGTATTTTTTTAACAACAATTGTACATGGGTCTTAGAAGTGGTTTCATACTTTTCAGATAGGGCGCTTGTCATACTTTGAGCTGTAGTGTAATCCTCAACGACTCTAATTAAATCTTCTTTCATAAAGCTCAGCATAGTAGTCCTAGCTACTTTGTCATCTTCTAACTATTTTTTAAGTCGTTTTTTGACTTGACCATTGGCATTAGGCTCTAAAACTGGTAGTTCAATATCTAGGACATAATCTACCCTATCTTGGAAAAGAATAGATCCAATTTTTCTTTTCCACATAGAAAAATTGGTCCCATTGAGTTTTTCAAGTTTGGATAGTTCTGACATGACTAGCCTATATGCCATTTTAAATTTTTAGATAATACTTAAAAGTTCAAAAACAAATTTAATTGTGTTTAAGAAAAGGTTGTCTGCTAGCTCAATCAATAAGTTTGCCGACTCTCAGTGAGCTGCAACTTCAAATAAACTTTTTCTCGAACAGTTTATGTTCACACTGTTGTGATGCAACAAAAAATTAATAAAGTAAGGCAGAACTACTTTTATGTCAAATCTTGCATAGAATAATTTTCATAAATATGTGAATATGTCTTAGCATAAGATAGAGAGTCTACAATGATATTTGATATTTTTCAACAAAAAATATGGCATTGCATAATCATAAAAAAAAAAAAAAAATCACAAAATCAAAATCATGAAATTTTCTAACTTAAAGAGACCAAAGCATAGGACAATTATGCAATGCAGTGATAATTATTATGCAAATAAAATATGTCGAAAATCCCTAAATTATAAGTCACAAAAAAAACATATGCAATTGATATGCGGGCCTTTACTCCAATAGAATTGGCGCACGCATAATAAGATTCAATAAAAAAAAAAAATATGCACTAATTTTTAGCAACAAAAAGATGGAAGAAAGATGCCAGTTACCTTGCACAGAGTAGAAAATTTTTGGGCAGTCTTTATAAATTACTATTATTATTATTGTTAATTTTATTAGAAAATAGAGAGTAGAATTATTTGCCTTATTTTCTGTTACTTGACCGTGGGCTAAGTATGTACTTTATCAGCAAGAAAATAACTACACAACGTGCTCCTACTCTAGCGAGAACCTAATATTGAGGCATAGAGAACCTAATATTGAGGGGTATGCTAAGTCAAGATAACTCTTTTGCAATAACCTCAAACTTATTTTCTCTCTTTTTTTTTTATGATTCTTCTAGTGTCTTTATCTCTTTAACTTTTCTCTACAAAAGATTAAACAGAGGACTTAACTGAGTCCGCTACGATCACGTAAGCCAAACACAATCTAGAAAGAGAAAATATGACAAAAGAATTATGGAGAGAAAATATCAGTAAAAACAAACACTGAATCGCAAATGAGGAGCAATAAATTAAGAGAGATAAATTCATAAAAAAAAAAAATTCAAATTATTAAATTTAAGGTTAGAAAAAATTTACAGCAAGATATACGTGAATGACAAACACAATATCAAAGTTATTGTAAATAGTTACTGCAAATTAAACTCAGGAAAAAATAAGATATAAAATACCAAATTTTTTTTGGGACTTATAGGTTATGAGCCCACCATGCTTCCACAACCAACTCTGATACCAATGTTGGAATATGTGGGAAGAGATGGATCCCTAAATTCCTAAAATTAGAGGTAGTGTAGTAAGATTGGCTTTTACCAGAACTTTGTAAATTTCTATGTACCTCTCTATGGTCACAAAAACCCTTTTTAAAGAATGATGGAGAAGGCCGTTCTCAAACGTTTGGCTTCCTCTTGAAATCTTTGAGAAAAGATGCCTTGTAATTTTAAGAAATGGGTGGACACTTTTTAGCCATTAAATAATGACACTTTCTCTCTATAAGAAGCCTCCATATTTTAATGATAAACATTAAATTTTAAAAGAGAAAACATTGCACGTTTAAAGGCCCTATAGGCATACACACGTACCAACATGTATCTCTTCTGTAAATTAGATGAGGTCATGGCAATGACAACTTAGGAAAGAGGAAATAGGCATATTCTCGAATGTTCTCTATACATTGGTACAATGTGCTCGTGTACAGCTTACTGTGCATCTCCTTCCTCTTCGAAACACCTAGCTATATTTATTTTTTTAGTCTCAAATTTTGTGAACCATGTACCAATTATTAGATTATTATTTTTTTAAAAAAATTGAATTTCGTGTTTCGTGGCACTTATATCTAACCATTAAAATCTTGGACAGTCCGTATTCAATTTGAGGGTTTTTTTTCTAGTATATAGAGAAATTATTTCTATTCTATGTGATTATCGTAGGTTGTAGAATTTATGTGCCCAAAAATTGAGATCTAAAAGGTATTTTAGATTTATTTTGGCTGAGGGAGTAAATAAATAGCATATTCCAATAAAAATAAATAGTTATAAAAAGTAGGGAAAATGATAAGTGCCCCAAAATGAACTTTATAAACATCTTCTCACATAATACTTTTTGCATCGTAACCTAAACCCAATCCAACCTAGTACTATTTTTTTTTAGACATCTTCCCCCAAATATTTTTAACATTATACTCTAAACCTTAATGCCATTTTTTTGAAAAAAATATCTATTTTTCCCTTATTGCTAACTTTCTTATAGCATGACACCCAATAACTAAAATATTAATTACAAACAAAAAGTCTAGTTCTTTTCTATCTTATAACCCCTTGACCTATTTGACCGTTAAATTTTAACCCCTTAACCCCTTTGACCGTCAAATTTTAACCTAGAGAAGCGCTGAAATGATACTCGGTCCAAACTCCATCTCTCTATGGACGTAAGGGAAAATCAGGTGGTTTTTGGCCTGAAATTAGGGTTTTTTAGCGGTGGAGGACGCGGAGAGGGAAGATGCAGGTGCGGTGGAATCAGTGGAAGAGGAAAGGAGAAATTAGGGCTAGGGTTTGTGGGTTGTGGAAATGGCGTCTATGAGGTAACATGATTAGGGTTAACCAGAGGGTGGGGCTTTCCATTAAGAACCAGACCAGAGGCGGGGGGAGGGAGGGGCCCCATCCATGGCGGCTATGCTTGCCGTAAGGGGCTTGGAGAAGTTGCAGAGGGAGAACGGTGAGGGGACAGATGAGGTAGAGAACGAAGAGGGCGCGAGGATAGAGAGATGAATCGAAGGAGTCCTCGGGGGTGGCCGCCATGGCTGCTCTAGTTCTGCAACTTAGATTTTAGAGAGAGAGAGGATCTGGTTATACAGCTTGGGGTTTAGAGAGAGAGGCAAGTTGAGCAGAAAGGAGAGTGCTCGTCCATTTGTTCTCTCTCTAAAAAACCTCCTCTTTCTCTCTTTACAAAAGCCAGAAGCCGTACTCTCTTTTATCAACCAAAAACAAGAAGAGATGGCGGGTAGAGGAAAGGCCATCAGATCAGGAGGCTCTAGAAAGGAGACATCTAGGAGGAGCAAAGCTGGTCTCCAATTTTCGGTGGGTCGAATTGCTCGATTTTTTAAGGCATGGAAATATGCAGCGAGGGTTGGTGCTGGTGCTCCTGTTTATCTTGGTGCTGTTCTTGAGTATCTTGCTGCGGAGGTGTTGGAACTTGCCGGAAATGCAACTCGTGATAACAAGAAGTTAATAATTGTTCCGAGGCACATCCAACTTGCAGTGAGAAACAATGAGGAGTTGAGCAGGTTGCTTGGGACTGTCACCATTGCCAATTGTGGGGTTTTGCCCAAGAAAAGAGCACCCAGCACTGGTTCGAAGGCATCGGCTGAAGAGTAGAGATAATGACGTCTCCTCTAATTTAGGATATTGCTTTTATTGTTTTTACGGTTTTGTTTTTTTGTTGGGCACCTGTACTGTACATGCCCTGTAAGAACCGATGCTTAGCCTTGTTGGGTTCTTTGGATAATCATTTGTTAATGGAATATGTGATTTTTTATTAAAAAAGAAAAGAAAAGAGAGTGCTTTCTAGAGAGAGATGCAAACTGTGCCGAATGTGGGTTTTAGAGAAGAAAGGGATGGAAACACATGCAATTGGGTCGAATCAAGGGGCATATCGAGAGAGGAATCAGGAACGGATTGAGAGAGAGAGAGAGGGGGGTAGACGTTGCAATTGTATGGGTATTTTAGTAAGAGAGAAGAAGAAAGCTATGGTTTTGGAGAGAGAAACCTGAAACTTCTGGTAAAGAAAAAACGAGGTTTAGAGAGAAGTTGAAAAAAAGATGAAATCAAGAGAGATGCAATTTGAGATAGAGATGGAGTTTTGAATAAAGTGTTATTTTAGAATTTTTTTTGGTAAAAAATTTATGGTCAAAAGAGAGGAGTCGTAAAACAGAAAAGATAGGAGACCTTTTGTTTATAAATAATATTTATAATTTTTGGATTGTAAAAGTAAAAAATAAGAGATAAAAAGATATATTTTTTTTTATTTCTTTTGTATTTATCTCTCAATTTAAAAGTCAATAAAATATAGAATAAAATGCCCTTTCCCTTTCTATCTCTATCCGCCTGCCACTCTCTGTCTTTAACTCTACCATTATTCACAAAATTGAATCGGACACGAGGTTGGAAGCATTCAATCGGCCTAACCGGTAAACCGTCCGATTCAACTGTTCTAATCGAGCTATCAAAATATTGTTGAAAATAATAAAAAAGATATAAAATAATTTATTAAAATATGAGAAAGATATAAAAAATGATTAAAATAAAACATATTCAAATAAATTAAAAATTAATAAAAAATAGATTTTAAAGAACCGATTTGTGTCTAGTGATATTTTTAAATTTTTTGAAAAATATAAGAAAATATAAAAAAATGAGTACCACCTAACCGGTTACTAGTCTAGGTGATAACCGAGGGGTTACCAGTTAAATCGCTCGATTTTCCCGGCAACAGTCTCTACCCAAACTCTCTCTCTCTCTCTCTGTGTATACGCCGCCTCTCTATCACCACCCAAATTCCTCTCCCACCAGAAATGACAAGAGGCGACGATGGGTTTAGGAAATGCCACTGGAATCTGAGACACCCAGTTCTTTAAGAGCGAGGACATCCTGACCGTCCTTTGTGCCCATACAGAGGGCCTTAGATTGAAGAGAGATGAGGCTTTGTTTTAAGAGGTATTGAAAGGAGAGAGTAAAATATACCATTTTTCTCCGGTTCTTGCGGGTCCATAGCCTTTTCAGTGATTCATCAACTGTTTCACCGATGAGAAATTGGAAATACTGGTCTACAGAGGATCGCCAAGATATTTTCAAAGCTGGTTCAATACCAATTAGATCGGGGGTTCAGAATCATCTTGAACTATGACCACATGAACAAACCTCAAGCAAAGGATGAAAACCCAAAGAGCATGGCTCTTACAATGACATTCCTCAGAGAATTGGCCTTATGATTAGGCTCCATGCCCATGGAAATTACGAAAAGAAAGCTTGTTATGGGGATTTTTTCTTATTATCTGTTTGGAATTTCTTGATGTTGGTTCTGCAGGTATCAACCAGAAAAGTAAGAAACCCTACAAAAAATGAACAAATTGAGAAGAGACCAAACTTGTTTTAAGGGTTTTGATGGATAACCAAGATTCGAAATACAACCAATGTTTTGGTATCCAAAGAGGAGAGGAAAAAAGGGAGACGAATATAATTCAGATGATACGAGCTTTGCTTTTTGGTTTTCCTATTGACACCAGAAACCAGAAGAACGAAGATTTGGTGAGATCGAATGACGATTTAGTGAGAGAAAGGAAGTTTAGGTGAGAGAAGAGCTTGTAAGAGAGAGATGGACTCCAGGCAAAGAAAGAAAGAGCCGGAGGTAGAGAGGAGTGTACAAGAGAAGGGGAAAGGGCATTTTATTCTTTATTTTCTTTACTTTTTGATCCGGATAAATACAAGATAAAACCATATTTTTCAGGATAATAGCATGGAAAAAATTTATATAAAGCCCGGGCTCTATACAATCAAATTAGAGCCTAGCCTACGTTCAAAATTTCACTAAAAAAGATTGTTTTGATGCTCAAATATCTTCAAATTGATCATCTTGACATCAAGATGCATGGGCATGAGAAAAAAATTAATTTCAAAATTTAAAAATAATACATTTTTTTACTGTCAATTTTTAAGATTGTTAAGTTTTCACAGATCTACTCGATCTATACTATTTTTAAAGCTTTAAACTTTATAATATTGAAACCACATTTGTTGATACTATTTGAATGTAGGCTCTAATTTAATTGTTTAGAGCCTAGGCTCTATAACTTTATAATATTGAAACCACATTTCTTGATACTATTTGAAGGTAGGTTCCAATTTAATTGTTTAGAGCTTAGGCTCTATACCCTATTGGAATAGAAGGTAGTCTCTAATTTAATTGTTTAGAGCTTAGGCTCTATACAAACGGCACCTTAAAAGTATTGGGGGTAGGATGTCTATAAAATTCATTTTTGGGGTATATATATATTTTTCCTTTTTGTTTTTCAAATCTGTTATTGTCAAGATTGAGTTGATCAATTTGATGCTTTTCCATGGCCCAAACAATTAATTCCGACAAGATTTGAGCCCTAGCTTAAAAAGTTTGTGGCCCAAATTCTAACCTTTTCCTAGAGTAGAACCACTAACATTTTAATGGATGATCTAGATTAAACAGTCCGCTATGGCGAATGAATGGATGCCCCTTGTATTTCATAGTGCAAACTCATTTTGGAAATGTTCAAGCCATTCATTGAGAAACTAATACGTTAAACATCAGATTAGATTAGATATTAAAGAAGCAGCTCTAGATATCCATCATCTGCAGTAAATGGAGTCAAGTTAAAGGAATATTTCTCAACATCAGTAAATACTCAACCAAAAAAACTCAAATCCATTCAATTTTCCTCTTCTTTCCTTTTTCTATGGAGAGCTCAGTGGTTTTCCATGCAAAGAAAACCATTACAATTTCCAAGTTATCAAATTAAAGGGAACAATCAAAATTTTCCTCTTTTCATTTTCTTTGTAAATACGGTGAGTACTACTCAACACCGCAAATCAAGAAATAAATTCCAAAGTTACATTAAAGATCAGAAGAAAAAATTGCTGGAGCTCTTCTACAAAAATAACAACTCTTTATTTCAATAATATTACTGGAGATACAATCAGTTTCATGACTCATGTTGGTGCTCAGCATTTAGGTCACCCCACCTCACATTATACTTAGCAGCAAGATAGTGAGCCCCAACCGGGCCACGGCTTCCATATGGGTAGAGCTCTGGTGCGATCTTCTTCTCCTCTATCTCTTTGAGCAAAGGAGTGAAGAGCTCCCATGCCGCATCGAGCTCATCACTCCTTATGAAAAGCCTTCGCTCCCCTTCAATGGCATCGAGCAATAGCCTCTCATATGCATCTGGAATCTCCTTTGAATACCTATTAAGTCCACAATCCAGTATCGCATTAGTTACAACTAGAACAAATAGAATAAAGAAAATTTACTGTCGATCAGTTATAGATTAGGTGACAAACAAATATGCCCATCCGGTATATCACTGTTAATCAGTTATAGATTAGGTAACAAACAAATATGCTCCTCAGGTGAATTTGCTTTAACCCCAGAACAAAATATCCACTCGATAATGCAACAACTTTGGGAGCCAGTCAACAAGACAAATGTGGCAAATGCAAAGGGAAAATGAAAAGATAAGGTATAAAAAAATGAAAGGTGGAGAAATTTCAAATTCCTTCATATTTGTAGGCAGTTGAAGTATCATAGCCACCACAAGATAACTCAATTCACAAATTCAAAATAAATGGAAAGATCTTAGCCACATAAAGAAGGCTCCCTCTTAAGTGGATCTCAGCCACATAAAGAAGGATCTTTCTCTCCATACATTCAATATAAAAGACATTTCAGCCACAGAGAATAGGAGCACTCTCTCTTGCCCTTCGCACCCCCTCCCAAAAACAAAGGACTCAAAACTAAGAAAATCATATTTTTACCTTGCTGCATAATGGAGATTCAAATTACTTCGATCCAATCGCATCCCAAGCCCAGGAATCTTATTATTGATCTTCAAGTAAATGGCTTCATCGGGCTGTACACGAATGACAAGCTCATTGGTCGCACGGTCTAGGTCGGTTCCAAAGCTCCGTTTGTACAGATTACCAGGTACATGCCTAAATTGCACCCTGATCTCTGCTCTGTTTTCAAAACCAATAAATGTACCACATAACATCAGAGGAATGTTTACCTGTGCTTATCCTTCAAATCTAAAATCTGCTGACATTTGGATATACATGCAAACCTTATTTGAAAAATCCACAATTATTTGGATTATGAAACTAAAATTCTGATAATGACATGTCAGTGTTTCTCCTCTATTTTTTAATACTATTTTTTAAAATTAACTTCAGCAAAAATTTGGAATGAGTTATTCAATTATGATATTCATCGAAGCCTTTTCCCAACTAATTGAAAAGTTTAATTCATTTACAGTAATGGACCTAAAACATTTCAATTACAGGAATGGACCTAAAACATTCTGAAACTTCGATTATCAACCTTGGAGCATCCTACAAACAAAAAAAATGTGAGATAGTGAAAGAAAGATCAACAGCACGTTGGATGATTGCCTAAGCCTAGCAGGTTGAAGCTCTCAGTCTCAGACTAGCAGGCCGCAAATTCCACTAGTTAGCAAGAAAAACAGAATAAATGATCAATAGAAGGCCAGTCCAGGTCAAGCTTAAGCAAGTAAAGGACAAATAATGTGTTCAATCTGACTGATCCCCAAATTGTACTCTAATCCAATGGAATATGGAAAAGCTAAGTAGGAGGGTTGCAACACCATCTAATGAAATAATAGATGGTGATGAAGAGTAGAATCCATCTTCTAGATGGTGATGAAGAGTGGAATCCATCTTCTCACACTACATCACGGTCCCCCATTTCCCATTGTCCATTAAATTATAGGAGTCTTTCCCTGTGTGGAAAAAGAAATGGAATACCTCCTTGTGTGTAATGCTTTGCCCGCTTTCATAAGGAATGGAACCCCATCCCATCTAGCATTGTCTATGAAAAGAGCAGCAGCCGCAAATGTTGGCGTGAGGCTGTTCTTCGGCACAGTCTTGTCATCAAGGTAAGATGGATACGAGATGCCCCCTTTTGTGTGGCTCTTATATTGCCCAATTACTACATCCTCAAGTTGAAGATGCCTCATTGATCGAAGAACTTTTACCTGACAAATAAATGTTTTTTGTTGTTAAAGAATGACTCCCAATTAACCACAGATTAATTAACTGACTAGTAAGAGAAAAGCAAAGGAGGGTAGTTTGAAATAAAAACCTTCAATAACTCTTTTGGGGTCTGGCCTCTTGGTTTATTTCTTTTCCACTAAGTAAATTAACCAGGGATTAAGGATTGTGAAAAACAAACCTTCCTATTCCTAAGATTCCGAATTAGGCCCCATTTTGATAGCTTGCATATCAAAGAATTAACCCCGCCTAACTTTATACTGATAATACTGAAATACTGTAGTCTTAAGCGGTCATAGTGATATCAAAGAGGTCCAACTTCTTGGGAAGTAGAGAGAGAACATTTACGAGAGTTAAGGAGGCATTTTGGGAAAAGTGGAGCTACAAAAAATTGTCTACCATGTGATAGAGGCACCCTAAGCCAGGACACCTAGTCAACCTTTCCGTAAAAAAAGAAGTGCTGAACACTTATGAATCGTAAATGGGTGTAAGAAAAAAATAGTCATATTGGTAAAGAAATGCACCCAAATGGGGCCTTAAGGTTTATTCTCTTGGATTGGAGGTTAGGTAATAAAGGAACATCAATGTCTAATGCTTGAATCCTAAATGATCCATATCATTACTGAAGACAGATTAGGTAATAAAGGAACAAAAATATCTAATGTTTGAATCCTAGCTTATCCACATGGAAAAAAACATAAAAATCACCAAAACAATAAAAATCACATTGCATCCATATCATAGCCCAGGTCAGATGCCACACAAAAGTCATGCTGGCTTAGGCATTAAAAAAGAAGAATACAAAAGGGATAATTGACGATGCAAATCAGCAAAAGTAAAATCGAAGTGCTTTATGTAACCTTTTCATTCCTTATGTCTTCTGCATCTAAACTGACAGGGGTTTCCATGGCAAACAATGCCAGTATTTGAAGCAGATGGTTTTGCATTATGTCTCTGATGATCCCATAGTTGTCAAAATACCTGCAAAGGATGTGCAAAGATAGGAGAAAATATGTCAATAACAAGAAAAACTTTTAAAAACATTTTTTTTTCCCAAGAATTGGGTCGAATGATGCTTTAGAAGATTTGTTAGCCACACTTACCCTCCTCGACCTTCAGTGCCAAAATCCTCTGAGAAGAGGAACTGTACATTCCTAATATACTGTCTGGACCATAGTGGTTCAAAAACCAGATTGGAGAAGCGAAGAACAGATAAGTTCTCCACCAGTTCCTTTCCCAAATAGTGGTCAATTCTATAGAGAAGAAGAAATATGAGTTCAGCATGCAATGCATTAATTAACATATATGATCCTGAATAGAAACAAAGATAAAACCCCTGATTCTGAAACAACAAAGAACTGATATTGAAAAACATAAGGAAATAATAAATACTAGACCTAAGGTAGCTAAGAATAAACATATCTAGACCTTTGGATTGTGTTACTATGTGTGTCATATGCACTATCTCCTAAGGGGTGTATGTATGTAAACACGTATACTTGCACACATGCATGCATGCAGAAAGGCATTCAAACACATACACACACACACTTGCACTCATGGACACAGACAGAAATGCATAATATGTGAGTTACGCAGTTATGCACATGCATGCATCAGTACACACACAAACTTGCTATTTTCTAAGGGCATCTGTGTGCAGTTTACATACAAAGATGTGTGTGCATATACGCCTAAATGTATGAAATATACATACATGTGCAAATTGCATGATTATATGGATCCATTTGTGTGTGTAGCATGCACAAATCACAATTGTCCTTCCAAAGAGTCGTTCTACCTGAAAATTTGCTCTTCTTCTAAGTATTGCTTTAGTGCTCTGGTGAGTGCTGCTGATGACCCTAAATCACGGCCAAATGGTTTCTCAACAATGACCCTCGTCCATCCATTAGCAGATGATGCTGACTGGCTAGCACATCTCACTGCATCTATAAATATACTGGGTGGAGTTGATAAATAAAACAACCGGTTTGAGAGCCTTGAAGCCTGGGAATGAAATCATTAGAGAAAGAAACCGTTTAGAGTTGAGAAAAAGGAAGCCAAGACATATTTACAGAGAATATAAAAGTCTCCCTATTAAATATAAATAAGAAGCTGACTATAGGACGAACACCCAAGAGTTCTCACAGTTTGATGGATACATTATTGCAATCTGATTTTCTCTAGCAAAAAGAAGAGAGCAACGCAAGAATGGATTTATTTCCATGAACACTCAAGTAAATCATGAATGGAGGACTGCCAAAGAGGCAATTCATGTTGCAGTTTGATTTAGGTTATATGAATCCAATACTCAGGGAATGCACTTGAGGTTCTACAATTGGACCAGAGATCCCAAGCATGAAGCACTACTAATTTTGAACACCATAACTCAAGACATTGCATACAGTGATTATTACTTAAATAATTCAAAATAATATACGCTGACATGACAAACATATCCATAAATTTCCACACTATTAATGCGTTGAAGCCACTAATCTTAGAGTACCCTTGCACATGCAATGCTTAAAGAAGTGTCCTCAAGAAGCATATTGTATCAAATGACTTGGTAAATTTACAGCTGCAGGTCCACAAAGTCTAGTGCACCATAGATGCAGTGGTATCAATGTATAGGTCAGCTTTAAAACCATGTCAGAGAGAGATATAACAGTGCAGATTTTAAATTCAAACCACATAATACTCACATTACCTCATGTTCCTTCAGTTTCTTGTCCAGGGCTGCAAAATTCTCCTCGGAATCATATTGACCTGAATGATAGAAGCATCTTTTAAGAAATTGTTCCATCTTGTCACTGCAGTTCTCCCTGGCAGAAGAGAAGCAAATTACTTCTTTCTTTCAGAAAATTAACAATCTTTTATTTGTTTCCCATACACAGCCAGGGTATGGCATGACATAAGTAGATGGGGCATCCACTGTTCATTCTCACCAATAGCAGACATCAATTATCTTAAAAACAAGTTACAGATAATCAACCATTTGGGTCAAGAATGATCTGTGGATGCCGCAGCAGTTCACTATATATAATAATCATACACAGATTATGGGGCCATATTCTTTCCCTTCCTCTTCTTTATGATCTGAGAATTGGCATTTATAGGAATGCGAGTTAAACCCCAAAGTTTGTGATTGGGACAAAGAGCTCCATCCGACAGTTAGAAACTTGAAGCCACCCTCAAGATTATTACATCACAGAGGGGACGCACATCATAAACAAATAGACAATGGAAACACCGTAGTCTAGTTGACCATCACTATCTATTGAAATGAAAGAGAAAGAAAGGGACCGAAGACAATGATTCTACTCTAACTCCATCACCATCCATCATCTCAATGGATGGTGAGTCAATGGTTCTTCCAAAGTACATTGGGTAATATTTGTGCATCAAATAAGAAGATTTGCAAGCAACAAATTAAACACACTTCTCATAAACATCAGTTCACCATTCAGTTCACAAGAAATACTGAAGAGAAAGAACTCATGCAGTGTCAAAACCCAAACAAATAGCGTTATAAAAAAACTGCCTTTTTTATTTCCTTTTTAGAATTATTCCTAGTTCACCACCACCAAAGACTGAAAAGAAAGTCATGAATTTAATGGACAAAATATTTGAAAAAAACAAAACAGATTTATAGGCTTAAGGTATAAACCCACCTTTTATCAATCCTGCAAGTAAGAGTCTTGGCAACCATGTTTCTAAGTTCGGCATCTGTCATCTTGCTACGAGCATACCCATAAACAGTGAAATGCTGTGTTCCAAACAAACAACATTCATCAAAATTTGAAGTTTTCAGTATGAAATTCTATAAGATCATTCACAAAACTGGATAATCACAAATGTAGCATCTTTACCAGCAAAACCCATTTGGAAGAAGACCTAGACAATCAGAATTTTCAAACAAAACAATAGAAAGAACTCAATATCAAGACCGACAGAAAGAGTGGTACATATATAGAGAAAGAAGAACAACCTTTGGAAGACAATCTTCGTAAAACAGAGCGAAAAGCGCTGGAAAGATCTTCTTCTTTGCAAGGTCACCAGAGGCTCCAACCACTGTTATACTAACAGTTGATTCTCTCTCCTCTTTCATTGAACCCAAATCATCAAGACCCTCTTGGGGTGGTGAAAGAGGCAACATCCCGTCCTTCATTTGCTTCAAAGGAGTTACCTTTTCAGTTGCAGCGGTTGCCAAACCTAAACCCATAAACCCAATTCAACAGAACTAAGAAAATAAACTCTCAAAAAAATAGAATAAAATAAAATAAAAATCAAAAGAGTCATATCTCAAGGAGAAAAAAGTCCCTCACGCTAGAAAGCCCGTTTGAAAAAGCCCCAAAAGGGAATGAATCATACAAAAAAACTAAAATAAAAATAAAAAGGAATATAACCCCAATAAAAGTTCTATATCTCCCTCTCTCTCTCTC